GACTGGTGGTGGTTGAGATGGGGGGGAGGTGGTGGTGGTGGGCAGAACAGAGCAGAAAGCGTGACGTCATTAACTTGTGAAACCCATTCCTAGCTTGGCTCCGCTTTCTCAGGACTGACTTGGTGAGATGGCTCAGCAGTGAAGTGTTTCCAGGTTTTCCAAGATAACCTGAGTGTAATTCCCAGACCTAGTGTCAGGTGGTCCACAACTCTCTAACGTCGGAGGATCCAATGTTGTCTTTTGGCCTCTGTGGGCACTTGCACACATGCAGCATACACATAAATAAAAACAAAAAACAAACAAACCAGCAAAGAAAGCATCACCAAAGCAAACAAAGGTAGTATATCACCTACAAGGGCCACTTGGGCAACAGTGGGTAAATGCCTTTAGGGTTTTGACACCCCCACCTCCCATCCAGTGGGCCACTGACATGTAGCCTAGAACCTGCAGGAGGGATGGAGCCTTTTGTGACTATACTCTTCAGATGCTCGGAGCCAGACACAGTGCTACAGTCAGAAGGTTGGGAAACCCAAGGGCTATGAGCTCCAAACTTATCTTGTGTGTGATGTGTGGATCGCCCCCAAACACCACATTCTAGGCAGGAAGAGTCGTCCTGCTCATGGACTTGCCTTCTTGGGGCTGGCTCAGAAGCCCCAAACAAGCCCATAAGCAGATCTCTCTGGAATCAGCAGGGCCTTATGCAAGAGAGGAAGAGGCTAGAGGGACTCCTGAGAGAGACAGCCAAGTTTTTGAAGTCTCAGGCTATGAAGGATGACTTGCCAAGCTGTGAGAGGGACCAACCCCAGGCTGGGGGTACCTCCCTGGATGGTATCTCTGACACTTGACTACTGTGAGGTGCTAAAGCAGGGGATGAGAACACTGCTAAAGGGCCAAGCTATGCTGTTTCTACCTGCTCCCTCAGTCCCATGTGGAAACTAACCACAGATGTGTTCTAATAAAACTTTATTAAGAGTAGCAGGCAGCAAGCAGAATGTGGTCACAGGACAGAGACAGTCACTTTATGGTTACCTGTTCAGAGGTAACGAGGAAATTAGACAACCAGATGGTAAGTGTATTTGTGATTTTGTTACAGATGGCCAGAGTCCCCTCTGTAGACTGTTACCATCTGGCTCTACCACCATCAGATATGTCCATCTCCCTACAGCCTTGCCAAGAACACGTTTTATTCAGTCTTGAGGTTTTGCCAGTCTAATAGGTAATATACAGTACACAAGGATCACTTCACTTCACGTTTTGTTTCTTGAGTCAGGGTCTCATGCATCTCAAATCGACCTGTTGCTGTGGAATGACCTGCAACCCTGATCCTCCTGCTTCCACCTCCCAAGGGCTGGGATCACGTCACCAGTTCCCCAGCCCTGGCCTTGTTTTGATCTTAAGGACGGAGCATCGACTGTTTCTGTCATGGAGCCATTCCTCCACAGGCTGCTTCACTCCAATCGTCGGTTCCTGACTTACAGAAGTTCATAGGTGAGAGGAGTCAGCCTTTATGTATACTTTGTAGCTACTGGCTACAGCCGGCTGTTGGAACAGCTACGCTTGGTCGTGACAATGTTGTTCAACCAGCTGCCAGTCATTAAGAAGTGGCACCATCCACTGGCATTGGGAAGAGCCGACTCACTTGATGGAGAAGCTGGGACTGAAGAGGTAAACTAGGGATTAGCATAGACCATTTAACAATGCCAGGAAGCCTAAGAGAATACAGTAGACTCTGACTCTGAGAAACTGAGAAAGAACGGACCTGGGAAATAAGGGAGGGGAGCCCCAGGGTGTAGGGAAGAGAACATGGGCAGATCCCAGAGCAGAGTGAAGACAGCTGCCAAGGCTGGACAGAGGAGGGGTACGTCTTTATCAGGCCATGCACTCAGGAGACAGACAACCTCCCACTGTGTTGTGTGGTGTGTTAAGGGGACTCTTTTTGATGGGAATTAACTACTAGATTTGGCACAATACAGACTGTTGGTGACCTGGATAAGTGTATTTTACAGAACTGGTGGGGACAGGTCACGGTCCCCAGGACAAGTGATGACAGTAGTCAGCAGTACATGCAGCTGCCTGCAATAGAAGGCATTTGATGTAAGGCTGGACAGAGTGGGCGTGTGTCTTTATCAGGCCAAACTCCATGGTTCAGGGCTGGGGGGGAGGGGAGGAGGAAGTGGGAGGGGACAGAGACAGAGACAGTGAGAAAAAGGAGACAAATGCGAGCTATGTTTTGTCAGAGCCAGGCTGTGTCTGGGAGGGACTGATGGACCAAGTGCTCTGCGTGGGATGACGATGGAGGGAAGATAGGAGTTCTCAAGTGGAGTGGTGGGCTGCAGGAGCGGCTGTCATTGGAGCCCAGTTACCATGTTTCATGAACGCAGGCCACCCTGGACCCTGGATTTCCAAACATGGTCCCTGTTCTGTAGTTGACAGAATAATTAAGAAAGAAGCCACAATGGCACAAGAAAATGCTTCTCAGATTTTATTTTGATTTGGGTTTACAGCAATCCCAAGGTGCCAGAGCCCACTCTTAGTGGGCAAACTATACTTCAGACACAGGGAAGGTAGGTACAACCCCACCACTGACAGACTTTTAAAAGACGCGTTTGGCTACATCACAGACACTCTCTGGTGTAACGTTTTCTGACGTCTCCATAAGACACGCCCCCATGTGTTTCTTTTATCTTATTAGCTTCTAAGAAACTTTGGAAATTTCAAAATAAGTGGATGGTCAAGAATAAAAAAATATGATCTTTTTTGGCTGTGTGTATAATGTGCCTGGTAAATTAGTGGAAAACGAGTTTTGGAAAGCAGGGGTTTGTGTGGTATAAAAATACTGTTTATTTACCTAAGACCAATAATAAATTTTATGGGTAAATAAAACTTATATAGGTACACAGAGCCGTTCAAAGATCTGGAATTAACTGTGCGTACTCCTTCACAATGCATTTAGTCCGAGTCTATTTCTGCCCACTACATGTGTCTTAGACATTTTGCTGTTCTGATAAAGGTTGAGAATCAGTCTCTCCTGCTACCCTGCCTGGCACAGTAGATCTAGGAGGCTGGCTCTTGGAGGCCTTAAGAAGTGAGGCATTGTTCTTTAGTCTAAAAGTCTTCATTATAAAATAAAAAATATGTCATAAGGTAAATGTTCATTTACAGTCTCTCTGATCTTAGGAACAGGAATGGCTCAGAGGTGGTCCATTAGGTAGAGGCTTCCCTGCTGGCAATCTAAACGACTAGTAACACTTGGCTGGGCTTTCTCTCGGGTAACTAGGTGGACACTTTGTACATCTCAGCGTGGGACACACATGTGTCTGACAAGATCTACTGGTCCAGAAGAGTCTGCCGACTGCATAGCTGTGAACTCTTACAAATGTCACTCCTCTGCATTTCCATGGACCCTCGTAAAACACAGACAGGAGTCTCCACTCAATCTCTCTGCAAGGTGATGCCGTCAGCACCACACGTAGTGACTATCAAATCTTCGTGTGCTTGGCAATGTGCCTACCATTGTTGGTCAGGCTAACACTGGGGCTTACTCTGCATATTTTTTGTGGGTTAAAGAAAATGAATCCCAGTAGGCTAAGGCAGGTGGATCTGAAGTTTAAGCCTAATCTGGGCAAGACTGTCTCAAAAAAAAACAAAAAAAACCCACAAAAAACAAAACAAAACAAAATAAAAGAATGTACAACCGAATGCAAAACCCAAATTCACAAATGCTTTTATAATAAAATGAAACATAGTATTAGTTTTTTAAAAAATAAAATAATCTTTGCAACTAACTATTCATCAACTTAAACTTTACGCTTATTTTGTCCGCAACACTAACTCTCCAAAGGAGAGATCCCGTAATTCATTCAGTTCTGTGCCTTAAAAGTTTGATTATAAGGCAAGAGAACTGAACGAAGTTTAAAAATAAGCAAAAATATACAACTCTAAACCACAGCCTCCATAAAGACTTAATAAGAATACTTCCTCAGGATATTTACAAGCCACCTGCTACTTATACAACAGCACAACCTCCACATGACAATCAACGTCATGGAGATTTTATTCCCTCAGCAGTTTAAATTATTAAATATTTAATGGCCTTGAAAGATTGCACGGCAGTTTTTTTTTTAAGTGCTAAGTGATTTAAAAGTGCTTACTATTGAGTAGCCAGGGGTTAGGTACTTATATTGGCCAAAGTTTCAGAAGGCTATCTGAGGAATACAGCCACGTATATGAGGTGGTCCCTGTAGATGAAGCCTTGACTGGGACATGCGACAGGCAGGGCGCCTAAAAGGACAACAGGACCACCTGCGCTTCCCAGATCTTAGGTCTGCATTACATTAAATGGTAGTTATTTTTATAAAAGAAATTACTTTGTCTCTCTTTCTCTAGTCTGTCACGCACGCACGCACGCACGCACGCACGCACGCACGCACGCCGTCTTGGGCCCACAAACGCAGCTCAGCTCATCTGGTTTAATCACAGTTTTCTAAATTAGATCAACATTTTTCAACAAGCGATGAGCGAGACTGCTCAGCACCAGGAGGAGGGAACCAAAGCAAGAGGACCGCAAGCTAAAGGCCTGCTGGGACAACACAGCAACCGCCCGCCCGGCCCCCCCCCGCAAAAGAACAAAAAAGTCTACTCAAAGGGTTAGCTGTTGAGACCCGCAGAGCCGAGCTGAGCGTTGGCGCAGGGCAGTTTCAGACATGGGTAGAAGTGAGCTAGTTAAGTTCAGCGGGATGAGTCTTGTGGGTTAAGTGACTGGTGGCCTTGGCTCCCAGGGAGGAAGGCCTAACGGGGATGCTCGGCTGACACCAGTCACTGTCACTACAGCACTCTGTAGTGTGACACAGCTGTAAGACAAAGAAGGCTAAAGCTCCCTGCATTTAACTGTGCATTATAACTTAATAATAGTCATTTCTGCTAGGTCTGTGGTTTCAAAATTAACTCATTGTAAACATCCTATATGCTTTCCCAATTAACTTTAAGAGTGTGAGCTTGTATCTATGTCTGTGTCAAATTATTTATTCTACAAAAAGCAGCACAAATACCGTTCATTGTGGTTTCGGCACAAATTCCTTAAAAAGTTCGTTAAGGCCATTTATGGAGTCAGGGTGAACTGCAGACTACCCTGGCAGAAGTCACAGGACAGATGAAGAGCTTTGGGGAGGGGCAGCAATGGCTGCCTGTGTGACCCCACGACAGCTTGTAGGTGTCATTAGTCTCCGACATCTCCATCTCGGTCTCCAATAAGCCAGAGAAAATGGAAGCTCAAGGCCAGCAGAGCAGTCCCAAGCAGATCGCCCAGTGCTGTCAGGTACGGGATGGAGAAACTGTCTGGGTCCTTTCCTTTCCTCCAGAAGCGATGGACCATCCAGTCAGCGATCCACAGCAGGGTGAACACCTGAAAGAGAGGACCAGAGATGACGCCTGCCCCCTGCATCTCCCTGCCCTTGATAGGTCCATGAGCCTCCACTGCTTGTTTCTGGAAGGACCAGCATGTGTCCAGGTCAAGAAGCAGGTAATTAATGGGAACACACTCTTTATAACAAGCGTCTCATGGACTCCTGAGATGCCCAACGCCGTCCGCTTTTCATAGGCTGCACCTCCCTTCTCCTCGCTGCTGGTGAACACATCCAGCACCAATCTCTGCCTTTCCTTACAATTGGCCAAGTGCTGTCATTCTGGCTTTGGCACCTTTACCAGAAAGAGGGGGTGGTTGTCCACATCAAAGATAAGCTCCAGGGGGCAAATATCAGATTCGCACTGACTTCTGTCAGAGACATCACATACCAAGCCCTGCTGCCCCTTGGGTGAGGCTGGTGCTCCTTCCTGCGTCTCTGGAAAAGGCTGCCTTTCCATCATATAGAACTAATTCGAACTGTCTGTTTCGGGTGTGTAGGAAGCAGAGAATATTAGAATCCTGAACTTCTGTGTTGTAGAGTTAGGAATTTGGCTTGTGATCCCAGCTTGTGGGGCACTGAGAAGGATTGCCATGAGCTCAAAACCAGCCAGGGCCACAGAGTTAGCTCAAGACCTACTCTATGAAAATCTGGTTCAAAACCAAAAGGTTTGGATTTGATTCTTAATTTGTTCTCAGGGAAGGTTTCTTATGAATCTAAGTGTCTATCGCTTATTTGAAGGGGGGGAAAACCCACAACAGAGCCTTAAAAACTCAATGTAGCAAAGTGCCAGCAACCTGGACCAGTAGCCCAGCAGTCCTGACTCAGAACCCCACAAGCTTTAGAGCCCGCCCCTAGAGCTGGTTGGTTTAAAAGTGAAGGCTCTGCTCCACAGAAGGCGCTCACCTTGTATTTCCTCCAAACTCAGAAAATTTACCATAACAACCACTGCTACATGCAGCCCTAGCCAGCACCTGGCCCACCAGAAACCTTGGGTCAGTGTGTGGCTCACTTGGTGGGAGCAACCCTTTGGCATCCTGTAGCCTTGAGATCAGAGCTGTTGTAGCTACTTCCCAGAGTCCATCTGTGCTGGCCCCAAAGGAATCAGGAAAGCCTCCTCCCCAGCCTGTCAACACCAGCAGCAATTTAACAGCCACACAGTAGGACCCACAAAGCTTCTCCTTCGTTTCCAAACCTTCCTGTGCTCCATCTGGCCCAGTCCACCTTGTATCTGTTACAGCCATGCCACAGCTGCAGGCATCTCCCACAGAAACCTGGGAGTTCCGGGGAATATTTCCTTGTAGAAATCCTATGGCTACTGGGGTTGCTTCTTGGTCTCACCTGCACTTCCCTAAGGAACCTAAAGATAATCCTCTCTACATTCCGTGGTCACCAAGACTGCAGCAGCTGCTGCCACCAAAGTGCCATTGCAGCCAAACTATGGAACCTGAAGAAGCCTCTGGACATTCACCTCCACTGCAAGGTCATGTAGTTCCTTCAGGCTACAAAGGTGCTCGCAGCCACGCAGGCATCAGTGAAAGGAATACATTCCTCGTGTCCTTATGTTGGTGGCTTGTGTGTGTGTTTGTCGACCCTGGCCTCACGAAGGACCTTCAGGAGGAAAGGATGTTTGTGTGAGGATGGGGATGCCAGTCAGCTTGGGTACTTGAGGTTGGTTACAGAGATTCCGACAGTACATCTCTGTGCATTCCCCTCACTGATGTCTGTGTGGCTGTGCGCACCTTCACAGTCTAGACTGTAGCTTGAAGGAACTATATGACCTTGTGGTGGAGGTGAATATGTCCAGAGGCCTCTTCAGGTTCCACAGTCTGGCTGCAATGGCACTTTGGTGGCAGCAGCTGCTGCAGTCTTGAGGAAACATGAACCGCAAAGAAAACCATAATTCTCTAGAAATGATCTCAATTTGAAGGAAACCTATGAGGTGCAAAAGAGAGAACACAATAGCATTCCTAACAAAACCTAGCAAGATGCAAGAGGCCAGAGATGAGCAATAGAAAGGAATGAGAAAAAACAATTTAGGACTTGAATGAAGACTTCAGAAAAGACAGAAAAGAGAACCAATGGGAGGCCCTCAGAGCTGAATGGGGACCCCTCAGAGCTGAATGGGGACCCCTCAGAGCTGAACAGGAACCCCTCAGAGCTGAAAATGTCAATCCATGAAATGAAAAATAAAAGAGAATACTTCCACAATAGGTCAAAAACAAAGGTTTTAGAATTAACCTAATTAGACAGAAAGACAGATACACCACCTTTAAGATACATGGAAAACTTTTAGCAAATAAATACCTGCATCATGGTAATTCTGGAAAGTAAAGAAAAGGAAGCAAGCATTAAATCTCACGTTGCAGACTGGTGAGACGCTCAGCGGGAACAGTGTTTGCCACTGAAAGCCTGACCACCTGATCCATCCTCAGAACCCAGGTAAAGGTGGAAGGAGAAAACCATGCTACAAAGCTGTTCTCTGACTTCCATACACATACTGGGGCACATGAGCACCCCCATCATAAGACACACAATAATAATAGTAATAATAACCTACTTCACAAAATAATAGCTGAAGTCACCCCAAACCTTCTAAAGATTCAAGATGCTCAAAGGTCTCTAAGGGAAAACCAAGACAGAGCATCACTAAGTACATCATAGTCAAAGTATCAACAGTACAGTGCAAAAAGAAAATCGTAGATAGAAAGACGTGTCCGCCACAGTATAAGCAAAGGTCTGTTAGACTGAGAGCAGATTCTTACAGCAGAGCTCTTAGAAGAAAGCCTACAGGCCGGAGGAGAGCAAGATAATATAGCCACGTAATAAGAGAAAAAAGATACCGTGCCAACCAAGGATATACCCAGCAAAATTAACCTTCAACATCTGAAGAAATGAAGTCAGATAAGCAGAACCTGAGGAAGCTCATCACTATTTAAGAAATACTTATGAGAATCTGTCATGAAAATGCATGTTACAAAATTCCCTAGAAGAACATATAAATAGAAGAGAAACCTTAGCATAACAGAAAGTTACTAAATCATAAGGTAGAAGTCCTATAAAGTGAGCAGTGTACAATTAGCAAAACAATAGAAAAACGGTTCACAATTATTAACAGTAACCTTGAGTCTACAGAGACTCAACCAAGATAAACACATGGGCTAAAAGCCAGACCACTACATGCTGTCTGTAAGAAGACTCCCTTCAGTGAAGACGTGCATCGTCTAAAGTGGGAGGCTGGGAAGCACACATCACACACAAGTGGGAACCAACGTGTGACAGCAGGAGCTGTCTTCAGCAGACACAGCAGATCTTAGACTGTATAACGTGATGAGACAGAGAATGTCATCATGAAAGGAAGAAAGGCCTGACAACACGAAGACACAGAGACTGCAAATACACGTACCCAACATGTGACCCCCAGATACATAAAGCACATGTTAGACATAAGGGAGACATTCTAATCCAGTAACATTGGGAACACTAACATTCTTGTTTTTAGTGGACAGGGCAGCCAGAAAGAAAACCAACAAAGAAATACCGGGGTTTAAACAGAGAGCTAATGTTCAACCACATGAACACACCGTGTCACTTAGCAGCAGCCTGCTCTGCTCACCAGCGCCCCATCTCCCAAGACACATCACAGAGAGGCCACAAGGAAACTATATTAAATATGTAGGAATATACACATACATATTCACATATGTATTCTCAGACGACAATGGAATACATCTATGAGTCAACAGGCGAGTTCAGAGCACATCCACATACAAAAAGCGAGGAACAGTTTCTAGAAGACCAATGGTGACTGAAGAAATTAAAAGGGAAGGTCTTAAAAGTCTAGCACACAATGGAACAGCATCTGTTGGCTAGACGACCAATGTGGACAGAAACATAAACAAAAGTTTTGAAGAGAATAGGGCTAGCTCATTCTATGATACTACTGTAACACGCTAAGTGTATTTGTATAATTCTGAAGTTATGTGTGACACATGTGTAATTTACTAATTCCTGGTATGATATAATAGGGGTGAGTCCAGCCTAGAATCTAACTTCTTCAACTGTGTCTCAACCCCACATGGGTTATACAACTAAATATGGAGATCTCAAAAAACCTGGCGACAGGAAAAGGCTTCTGAATATACAGTTACCAAAAATTAATTCAAATCAAATTCGTAAGGACTTTGAGGTGTTTCTGTGTTCCATTATGCATCAGGTGGTGTCACTGCAGCCCTGGTTCTACACATAAGACATGCGCACTGCGCACTGTGCTGGCCTTCACTCTGTACATTTGTGTATGTTGCTTCAAATGCTTCAGTTCAAATCTGTGACTGTTGTATAATATTATGGCGCGTGCGTGCGTGCGTGCGTGCGTGCGTGCGTGTGTGTGAGAGAGAGACAGAGAGAGACAGAGAGAGACAGAGACAGAGAGAGAGAGAGAGACTGAGATTAATTTTACTTTGGGATTAGGACAGAATTTCTGAGATGAGTCTAAGCATACCCCTTCCATTTTGTACATATATTCAAAGTGGTATTTTGGCATTGATGTTTACAAAATCAAAATACTGATGAATTCTGGGAGATGTGGAAGACATTCTACATCCTGCAGAACCAAACAGTGAGCCAAGATTCCATCCCTTACACGTGACCAAGCACGTCCGTGTCACTGGCATGAGATGAGAACTGGTTTTTTAATAAGATTTCTTATTGTGTATGCACATGCATGTTCGTGCATGTTATGAGAGGTGGCACGTGCCACTGTGCACGTGGAGATCAGAGGACAGCTTTGGAGAGCTAGTGGTCTTCTTCCACCTTTACGTGGGTCCTGGGGGTCAAACTTGGGTCGTCAGGTTTCAAGACAAGCTCCTTTACCTGCTGAGGCATCTTGCTGCCCTTTCACCAATAATTAATGGTAAAAAACAATTTAAGTTTATCAAATGATTGTTTTAAAATAAATTTTGTTCTGATCTATTTATTAATCCATAAATGTACTATGTAATCC